TATAAGTTTAAAACATGTACAACCTTCATTGATCTAATGTATATATATTATACAATTAAAAATTACTTAGGTTAATTTTAAAATATGCAAGTTTACTCACATTTTATATTTTCCTTCACCGCTGATCACGTCATGAATCACCATTTAAAATTGCAATTAACGATTTCATTCGTGCCGTGCCTTGTATATTGAATTAAAAGCGACAAACCGGATAAATGTTTATTTTTGAAACTCTTTGGTATTGTGATTTTAAACTAATGCTTATTTTAATAAAAATAAATATTTTTTTTTGCTTTGCATGTTAGATTGATTAGGATGAGTATTTTATGCTTTTGTATTATACTTCAATTGGTTCAAGCACCATCTAACGGCAAGAATACCACAATACAATAGAAGTATGCGCCCGGTTTGAGAAACACTGATCATCGTAGAAGTTAACTAATCTATTGTCAAATGGCTTTTCAAATATCAGAATGATCTTCTTAATGATCAGAATGATCACTTCAAAGAGTTTAACCATCCTTTTGGCAAGTCAAATGACATTTGCTATCTGTGCACATACCTAATTTTCTCTGTAACGCCCCAAGGTTGACTGGGAGATAATGCTTTTAGCATTAAGTCCGCCATTGTACTATTTGTGCATAAAGGGTAAATAAATAAATAAATCAATTTGAAGAACCATTTGGCAGCTGATTAATTAATTTCTACGATGATCAGTTTTTCAGAAATCAAGCATTAACCAACTAGTCGGTTGATAATTTATCAGATTATAATCGGCAGCATTCTCTTAAAAAATTAACAACTAGTCGTTTTTAGGATTCGGGGCACTGCTTGAAACCATAGGTTGCAATGTTTTACATCTTGTGATAAAACATTTTTTGGAGATTTTTTTTGTAGTATTTACAGAGATAGGAACGAAACACGATAAATTTTAAGATTTAACATGTCTAGCAAAAATTTGAATATATTGATTATAACATAATTTTTAACGAAAAAAACACCGATGCCAAACAGGAAACTAAAAAGGAAAAAAATACTTACCACAAAGTAATTCGTATTTTGATTTAGTTAATCAGAAATGATTAAATAATTATTTGCTCACTGGCTCACTTAACGTCTGACTTAGATTAAAACAAATTATTAAGTATGGGCTACTTAACGACGGGCACGACGAAAGGGCATTGTAGAGATCATGCCTACATATCAGCATGCCTAGCCTAATAGGTAGTGGTATTTCTAGGTAAAACTTCAATCTCAATCAGTTATTCTTTTCATACGAATTGAACATTTTGGCAAATGGAACCATATGAAGTAAGCCCAACAAAATATGTAAACTGTTTAGGAATTCCTTCGACTATATATGGTCTCCATCATCAGACCTGTAATGGAACTTATAACCCATATGGGTGCAAAGTTATCATCAAAGGAAATGAATTAAGTATAAACACAAGGTAATTGCTGTAATCGTTGAGAAGTTCCCTCGATGTCTTTCGGCTCCATCCGATCGATCCCAGACGCAGGTCTGGGGGTTTGATGATGGCCAAAATACATTAAGTATTTAATCTTCATTAAATAGTAGTGCTTTTAAATACTTAACGAAAAAATTAACAAGCGCACTAGTCGCCACTACGATTTTCGAAGTTTCTCCTCGATTTCTCTGAGATGGCATCATCAGATCCGTGTTTGCTTATCATGGTACCACCTTTGGGATATTTCCTTTCCAAGAAAAAAAGAGTCATCAAAATCGGTTCATAAACGACGAAGTTATCTGCGAACACACATAAAAAATATATACGGTCGAATTAAGAAACCTCCTCCTTCTGAAGTCGGTTAAAATAACAAAATTAAAAATAACAAAATTATTGATAAACAGTTAAAACACTGTATCAACTGCATGCAATTTGTTATAAATAAATTTTTTGATACCTGTGTTCAGCAGTGGACTAACAGGCTGAGATGATGACGATGATAACTTTTAATTAAATGAAAAAAAAAATATTTTTATTTTATTATTTGGTAGAAAACTCGTATACGAACTTCATATTTATTAATAAAAAAATAATTACTTTAAGAGCCCAATTAGCATCAATGTCTAATGTGGTAAATCTCCCCATAAAAGGTAAATTAGAAAATCAAAGATTCATTCAGCTTAAGTTCCATTCTAGGGTCTAATATCTGTGAAAGCACTTAAATGATTATATTCGTTAATGTTGATAAATGTAATTATGATAAATTTAATTGAAATATTCAATTAAAATATAACTGTTTTTACTACTGTTCGCTATTTTCAACCTTTAGCCACAGCCTTCTATACTGTCAAATTCATTAACCGATGCACAGCACTGAGATTTGAACTCTCTGCTATTTCAATTTCCTGAGCTAATTGCCAACTCGAATTTTAACTTAAAAATAAGGGATATGAAAATATTCATTAATAAAACCACGATTAAGTTAACCTCTTTTTTAATTGGATTTGGTGATGTAAAATAATTATCGATGATGGTGTACAAAATTACAGGCCTTTACATTATTTATTGGTATTTGATGCGCATTAGACCATTACTATTACCACATTACGAGGTACATTTTTGTTTCGTATTTATAATTGTAGAAGTTATCGATACATTGCCAGTGATAAAATATTGCTTACATTGCTTTACCATAAGGTAAGTTGTACTTAATAACGCACATTATGTACGAAAGATCTATTTTTAAATTTTAGGTAGAATTTATACAAGTCAGATACAAAGTCTTATATCAATATATAAATGATAGGAAAAAGGTACACGTATCATTAACAACAAGGAAATTGATATAGTAAAACCATGCTTCACTGAAAGTATTTACAGTTAGGTTTGAAGTATTTCCTTTTTTTACATAGTCTAGGAATTTTGTCCATGATATCGTCCTTTATATTTCATTTCAATCTTATGATTTTGCTTTTAGATATAAGATGCTGCGATGTGACATAAATTGTATAGATGCTTAATAGACAAAATGACAACATCAAAAGATACCAAAAAAAATCGAAATATTTTAGATCTGACAGATTTGCACGCACTTGATTTAGTAGCATAAATTAATTTTGTGAGGATATTATATTGCATTATATTATATAAATTGTTCATTTACTAAATGTTTGGGTAAAAAAATTGTGCGCCTATAAATCACATTTGATATAATAACCTCACTTTTATAAAAACAATTAAACGATTTTAACTTTCGAACGATTTTAACACACTGAGATAAAACGCAAAAAGTATAAAAATACTTTTCTATAACATTCAACGAAAATATATAACTATGAACAAGGAATGGCGAGAAGTTAACAAGATTATGTTATAGTTATATTTAATATTGAACTTGACCTGTCATTTTATTTACGTTTTGAATGTTGTTGTAAGCTGTAAAAATGTGCATAATTTATACATCAAGGCAAGAAATTAATTCAACATGTTTAACAATCAGTAAAAAAATGCGTATAATAATCTTAATCAAAGACAAAATTTAAATCATAATTAAAATGGCAGGCAAGTTCATATTCCTTAGATTGAACAAGTAGACTTATATAATTATATAATGTGCATATTTGCATACATACCGGGAACCTATCATGCGTACCTTCAATACATTCCCAATAATAATTAATAGATACAAACATATCATTGAAATAAATTTGAGAACTTCATCATTTTATACGGTTTTAATTTGATACAAAAATGTTATCTCTGTCGGTAAATGGTAGGTATAAAATATATACAGTAAATTTATAAGTAATTGCGTGTAAAATCTTATTCGTACAATAGAAATATAGAAAAAGCTATTGTTTGGCTTCACATCCCGCTTAAGTCGTCCACAGCGTTCGCATATGCTCAACTTAATTTTTACTTATGCGTTATGTGAATCCATAATTTACCTACAACATTTGCCAATCGTCTCGTTACACATTTTATCTCAGCCTTTTCGAGTAGGAGAACCGTAATTAATTGAAATTTAGATTATTATATAGTAACTAGCAAAGTCGGTGTATTAATATTACGTGTAGTAATTCCGTCGGTCTTCCTGTCGGGGAAACAGCGACGCGAGCGTTTACTACTCTACGATGTGAAGCACCATTTGTTCTAGCGTAGGGATAATGTACACAATTTTCGATTCTATTCTAAATAACATTAGAATTAAATTGAAGCACACATGCTCTTACTCTCCAATTTTTCGTTAGGAACAACAATTTAAAAATACTACGCGATTCGTTTTTTAATAGGATAACTTAAAATTTAAATTATAAACGCTTTTGGCACTTACGCTAATTTGAGATTGAGTAGTTTCGTTTGTATGATGTTTCGAAATGTATTAATCCTAGTAATCATTTTTATTTTCAAACATACGGACATTCCAAAAGTAAAAAAACGCCAAACCATACGGAGAGTTGTAACACTTTCTTTGGTGAGATAAAAATATTGAAGATGGCATAAACATCAACAAACAAACATTAGTAGGTAAAATTAAATAAGAGTAACATTCTTCAGTAATACAACCGTTTATACGGTCAGTGACTTTAATTTATTTACATGCACATGCTAGTATATACAGAGGATATTACTAAATAAAGTCGCTGTGAAAATAAAATATACTATTTACAATAGAACTCTAATAGATATATAAAATTGAGCATTAACATAAAGGCAGCGAAAATCTAACTTAAGTACTCCAGAGCGAAGGGAAATAATATATGTTCTTATCAACTAATCATGAAATTTAAGATAAGTACTTAGTACTTAAGAACATCGCGATATACTTAATTCTATATATTTTACAAATTTACACATTAAACAAAGTTCACATCATAATCTCATAGCCACTGAATGAGACGAGTCGAAGTGTCAATCACACGATTGTCTCTTGAAAGTTTAAAAAAAAACCACAATCGTTTGATCACAAGACTGGAATCACATGGTGCGGCGGGGAATCACACGTCCGACGAGCGTGCACCGCGAGGCTCAGGTGCACTCGATAATGAGCGGTTGGTTGGACTCTATGACGCTGGGACGCGTCTCGCCGCCCGACGAGTAGTGCTGGGAGGGCGCGTCGTGGTCAGGCGGCGGCTGCCCATGCAATGTGCGGTAGGGCGGTGCGTGCGTCGGCGAGAGAGGCCCAGGACCCGCCAAGTGTGGCGTGGTGGTGTGCGCGTGGCTACCGAGCATTGCCTCGCCGTGTACCATCGCGCGCGCCCCACCGGCCCCGACCAGCCCTCCTTGCGACATCGAGTGCACCTCGTACGGCTCGTGCCCCGCTCTATCGTGGCAGTCTTTGTCGACGGTACCTGCAAAGTGCACGCGAAAATGAAATCGGTCGCGTTCTGCGAGAGCGCAAGTGAAAGTTGCGGTTCACCTACGAGGAGAAAGTGCAGCGAGCAGCAGTTGCTCTCTCGATACCGCTCGGTTTTATTCGTTACCGTGGTACAGTAGGAGTTGTGTTATAGAAAAAAATATGTTTTAATAAAATTGTGAATAATTATTCCTAGTTCAAATTTAAAAAAAAGTTACTTAAATTTAGAAGAGATTATATTACCTATACATTCAGTGTTGGCAGCGTTGGTTATTGCTAGAACTTCTTCGATATTGTTGGGTTTACAGCTTGTAGTTTTCCAGTGTGTTCGTAGTCCAGATGCGCTTATATATTTCTTGTCACACCCCTGACATACATACGGCCGATCGTTTGTGTGTAACCTTTTGTGTAGTTTTAAATGAACAAATTGTGTGAATTTTTGCATACACAGATCGCAGGCATACGGTTTTTGTCCTGAGTGCAGCCTTAAATGTGTTTTCAAATTAGATGTCGATGAGAACCTCTTCTTGCAAATGTCACACTGATGTGGTTTTTCTCCTGTGTGTACAAGGTGATGTTTTTGTAAGTGAGCAAGTTGAGTGAACGATTTATTGCACACATTGCATTTAAAGGGCCGTTCGCCGGAATGCGTTCTTAGATGCACTTTCAAATTTGATAGTTGCCCAAATGTTTTACAGCACACATTGCACTCATAATGCATTTTTCCATCTTTTTTCTTGAGGGGATAAGGTAGGCTCCTATATCCTCGAGAAGATTGCGAATTTGGACTGATCGGTGAAACCATAAGACTGCAACTTCCATCAGGGCTCATACTTCCGTGTTGTGGTATTAGCTGACCATTCACATTTGAATTTTGTATTAAACTTAACTGTGAGCAATTTTTCAGTGTTATAACACTGGTTGACGAGGGATAGTGGTGATTACTTTGAGCACTCTGTGATCTTTCATATTGATGCGTGGAAGACACAGTTGGCGAAAGGTGCTTGGTGGTGATCCTAATTGCGTAATTATTGTAGAATTAGGGGGTGAATATAAACTGTACGAATAGTTTGGGTAATGGCTTTCATAGCGCGTTTCCCTTATCTCTCGAATTTCTCGTATTTCTCGGATTTCTGTTGTATGGGGTATTGTGTGCGGCGGGGAAGATGAATACACGGATGTGGCATTAGGCGTTGGTAGTTGTTGAGGTAATGGCAGCAACGATGGTAATGGTGTCAAATTAGAACTAGAATCTGGACTGCAGGCGTTGCCATACCTTTGACTTTTTTTGTATGAATACGCCATTTCGGTAGGAGACGATGGTGGGGGTGTTGCATTCGGTTGCCGACGGTTCGGATCGTTATTGTTGGTATCGATTCTATTTCCTGTTAATATCGTTTCCAAGATCCGTGTGTCAGGCGGCGTATAGCGCATGAAAGCTGGTTGCGGTGTAGGTGAAACAGTTCCATCTTCGTAATACGGCTTATTTAAAGGAACGACGGTGTTTTGAGATGACTCCAACACTATCACAGTGGAAGTAGCTGGGTCACGCCTAGGTGGAGACAAGTTTTGCGGCGAGACATTGCCTACTTCCTCGGCGATAATAAGTTCCTTTTCACTTTCACAATCCATATCTTTATGATTCTGGTATTGATATGCTCTCGGCATTTTTATCTTCACTTTTCTATATTCATTTCTATGCATATCTTGATCCATCTTTTGGACAATTACAGTTTCTTTTGGCTCATTAGTTTTATTGGAGCAATCTAAAACATAGTTTTCTACATCGGAGTCGCTAGAATCTTCTGGGGGAGTGAATTCGTCATGATAGCCATTGCTGTGGTACCCTTCATCTGACCTTACTGATCCGTCATTAGGTGTTAATTGATGTTCATAGTGCTGTGCGCCGCAATGTGTTAAGCCTGGTGATTTGCTTCCTAATTTATCATGATGAGTTTGTGACATTGGTGATGGCCCTCGCATATCTCTTAAATGCAAACTTTGAGCAGGTGACCTATTATTATGCAATCGTGGATTTTCTAATTGATGAATTACCACATGCGACGTACTTTCTTTGTGCTGATGAATAATCAATGTTTGGTTATCTCTGTGATGCAATTTGACTGGCGATGGAGGTTGCATTAGGCCATTTGGTGATAACGATGTGTGTTCACTGGCTATTGAATTTTCTGACTTATGGTGAATAATATTTGCAGATACATCAGTTCTTACTATTGTTCTGTCATTTCTGTTAGCTATTCGAGGATCTTCACGCGCAACGAAAGTTTCGTGAAGAGGCTTTTCAATCGATTCACGTTTTCGCCTACGACTTGGAATATCTGTTTCCAGAAGTTCCTTTGCATTCGTTAAACCGAGTACATATTTCATATGGTTGAATGCGATCTCAGGGTGTACTGGGGCCGGTGGCAAGCCATAAGCTTTTTTGATGGTTTCTTCTTTGCCTACAAAATAATACAAACAGTGTTATCCAAATTAAATATGGTAAACTTAGGTTATAATATAATTAAACAAGATGTCAGCAAACATACTTACAAATAGAATATGTCGCTCTTTCGGGGTCTATGTCATACCCCAACCTAGTCGCAAAATCTTTGCAATACCACACCATTAGTTCTTCATTTGGCATAATATCTCTGTAAATGAATTATGCGATTTAATAAATCTATAAATTATTACAAAACAAAGTTTTCTATTGTGTGAATATATTATACCAAAGCCCAGTGAGGTTATGTGATTAAATTTGTGTTATACCTGATGGTGTAGAAGTAGATGTGCTCCTGATGTTGGCATGCGACGAGATTCATAACCGAGAGTGAATACGCCGAGGCTACATAACGCATCCAGTTGGCTACGCTCGTGTCAGAACCATCCAGGTAATAATAGTCGCTGTCCTTAAATATCTGGAAAGATAATAGTTCCATTATTATTACGTATAAAGTGTTATATTGAAAATAAAATTGACCAAAGGTGTGCCAAATGAATATGAACATAAGCTTCTGTTAATATGAGCTAGGAGGCGTAAAGTATGAACACTCATCATGTGTATGGTATTTAAATTACGTGTGCAACTGATAGCAAAACGCTTACATGTCATAATGGACGGGAGTCAAGGACGAAATGCATTGTCATCGTGTACTAGGACGTGGGATATGTCAGATAACACAGTTTTGGTTGGATTATTAACGTTAAATTATATTAAAAAAATATTATCTATTATTATTATTTTTTTTTAAAAACTGGTTGCTTTTGAAGATATTACATGAAAAATACAACTTGTATATAAGATCTATTTAAATAAACATTTTCCTTTCACGTGTACAGTACAGTTTGAAAATAAAATAACGACGTTAGCATGTCCTATAAGGTAAAGTTATTGCCACCACAACCAATAACGAATTTTAAAGCCTAATCTCACCTTTATATTTCCATAAGTATGATGTCTGACAGTTTCCTGTACCTGGCCCAACATAGAGAGTAATAGGTTAGTTAGAGAAAAGAGCAGTGCATTTTTAAATCTATATTAAAGCTTAATAACATATATACATTGGGGTTTTATTTAATTTGCGATCACTGAGCAAATTAAGCCAAAACCAACTGCGGGGCGAAAATGAAATTATGTAAGTAAGTAACAACTAAAAGCCTCAACCGAGTCACTTTGATAGAGGAAATTATGTAAAGAGAAGCAAAGTGAAAAGAATTGCATATAACAGATTTCCTTATTATTTAATGAAACTCACCCTCCAATAATATCGCCATGAAACCTTGTCATTTGGTTTGTTTGGCGTCCGAGTGCCTTCGAATGGTCCAAATCGTGTTCCACGTGGGATCACGCCCGTGCTCCATACTCCTTCCGTCTGCAATAATGTTAAAACCTTTCATTGTAAAAACCTTTCATTGTAAACGCAAAAATGTGATCAGATATATAAAAATTCTTCTGCGTATTTCTAATTAGATTACAAATTTGTGCTTAGTCAAGGGGGAGACGAAATGCTTGGTTCTGCTTATGATGGGTTTAGTTTAGTTTTAGGTTGGATGCTCATTCTTTTCTTACCGGTGTATTAGGTGTTGATAGGACAACGGATGGCCGTAGCGCCAGACTTCTTGGTAGGGTCCTTTCGGCTCTGTTCGGCGTTCCCCTTTCGCACGGCACATCGGGTACTATGTATACGGTGAGCCTCTCAAATTCATCCTCTCGCATGCGAGTGACATCATAAGCACCGGTTCCAGCCACTGCCACGGTCGACGCCGCATTTGTACCCCCTGGGCTTCCCGTACGACCAACCGTCGTACTGGGGACTTCTTCGCTTGTTGACTGTCAATTAATAAATTATAGTTACAAACGCACTGATACGCTGGATTGTGATATATGATCATAGCTATAGTTCTTATTATAATTTCCGTCTCTTGCAATTGTTGCTTCGACTATAAATTTTATAGTAATCGCGAATAAATTCAAAAATTCACTGTTGGAATTGTATTAATTTTTCTTAACCGCGCAATGCACAAATGCAAAAAAGTGGAACGGAAATATTCAAATGCTCTTGTGAAAGGTGATAGGTTGTTCATCGTATCAATTTGAGATCCGAAAATATGCAAACGAACTGCATTTAACCCTTGAAAACTGATTGCACTATATAAGGCGTTATAAGAATATGAACCGTATGCCTAAGGGCCAAGGGTTTGCTTTTCCAACATAAAAGGCAAAGAGTGCGGTTCAATAAAGGGGCGGTGTCACTACTGACCCAGTTTTCTGATGAGTGCGCACTTTCCACTGCGCACCCACACTTCCTTGAGCGCCTATTTATATTTTTGCAGAAGTTAAATTTTTTGCCCTCGAGAATTTTAAATTAATAGTATTCAAAACTTCGAGATTAAATTTAAAATAAACCGCGATAAAATTCTCCCGCTTAGCGTATTAAAGTTAATATTTTTTTTAAATATTGATGAGTTTTTCTCTTACCAGTCTCATTTTTATGATGATCGGACGAGGATCTTAAGTCGGTGGTATCTTTTTATTAATTGAAGTAATCAGTACCTGCAAACAAAAAAAAATATGTTATTTTTCTTTTAATAATGTTTTGAATTCACCCGGAATAAAAATTTGATTTTATTAAATAACTGCTGGATATTTACTATAAATACGGAAAACAACATTTCGTAACTAAATATTTCTTGTAAAATAGTATCTTTGCCACTATATTCTTACAATTCAAAAAGTTTGTTAATTTTTTTTATCTAAAGTTTGTTAATATTATTTTAAAAGAATGTGATTTCATACCATATGTGCGTATATTAAAAGTACACCACCAACGATATTTGTTTGTAATGTCGTTGGTGGTGTGGCCACAACTGGCATAAACAGATATTTTGAAATTAGGAAGTTATTTAAGCCTCGGTCGATGACTCTTTCATATTGTTATTAAACTAGCTGTTTCAATTGGATATTATGTGTAACGCCACCGGAACGTTGGATATATACTAAACGATTTGTAGGTATAATTTCCACGAATATTTGCGTTTTCATGTAAAACGCCGAAATTGGTTTTCTGAAGTAGTTGAAACTATAATAAATTAAATAAACTTATCAATACATCATAGTATTTTTCTCAAATTTATGTTTACCGAGTGAAGTATCGCTATTAAATATTATCATAATTATTGACTTATTACATTGTGGTAAGCGTTCCTTACAATATATCAGGTTAAGATACACAATAGAATAATTTGTTTACGATATGAAAAAGGACGTAAAGCACAGGAATAATATATAATGACAATAGGTAAATTGTTCATGTTGTTGACATGACCACAAAATGGTAAATTTTTGTTTCAATGTGAGAAGGTTCATCTGATGTTAAGTGATACCGCCACCCATTAGCGTTTGCAAAACTTTTAGGGATGCAGATGCGTTCTCACCTTTTAATAAAGTGGGCACGGGCTACACCAATTACCAGACGAGATGCAGAAGTATAACACTTAAATTTCACGTCGGTCTTTCCGGTAATTCCCCGAACGAACCTGCCCATACGTGCAACAGAAAAGACTGTTGTATGGCACTATCACAACAAAATAGGTTTGGAACCGATTGTTTATTTTTTGAAATAAAGTAATAACTAAATGTGTTATATGTTACTTATTAATGGGAATTTTATGCCTCCGATGAATATAAAAGGAAACTCCAATTTTAGGCGATCTTTAACTCTGTTGTGTTATAATAACGTACGTTATTCAATATATAATAAATGTAGTTGTAAAATTTAAACATTTAAAAATAACTTAAGAATATATTCATAAACATCTTACCATAACATTTTTATCGCAAATCAGCTCTACATGTATAAAATATACATGTATAAAATAAATAAATAAATACAGAAGACAGAACTATTATTGGACATTTTATTAATATGTAATATAATAATGTTACTTATTATACCTAAAAACCGATATTCCATAAAATCGTATAGTCACAGACCTGAAGACGATATTTTATTACACTTTGTGTTAAATATCGATTTCATAGCACGAGTATTGCCGTATCAAATTCTGTTCAAATGTCTGAATCGCATCTCTAAGACGGGTGGTGATTGCATTGCACGTGATTTTCGTACGCAAATTGCGCAACGCTCACGTTATGTTCTCGTAACGCGTTCACGGGCCTAACAATTTTGTAAACGAACATTATCGTAATAATGTAACATTACTACTTCATAGTGACCATTATGAAAAGTAGATTGATATATATTTATAGTAAATCAATGGCAACTTTATACATAAGTGAAATCTTGATAAATTTTCCTTTTCATTTGGATAGTAAATAGTTTTATTCGTATAAATATCAAACTATTACTGTTCTTTGTTTCCTTACTTTACTTATGAGAAAATACAAATTCTAAGAAAATCTGTAGTAAAAAGTTATAGATGAATAATTACTTATACCATGATTTGCCAATATTGTACTGTTTTATCATTATTTTTAAATAAATGATTGTGCTTATATATATATATAATTTTAACGATATAAGATTATCTTTAAAATTTACTATTCTTCTTTAGTTTAAAATGTTGCAACTATTTTTAAATATGATTTTAAGTGCATCTCTAAACATTATGCCTCGATAATCGTATATGACTATAGGCAAACCAAAAAAAATTATAAATAGTTATTAAGATCCTTACTAATCCTTACTAATATTATAAAGGCGAAAGTTTGTATGTATGGATGGATGTTTGTTACTCTTTCACGCAAATACTACTGAATGGATTTTAATGAAAATAATATAGCTTATACAACAGAATAAGACATAGGCTATAATTTATATACATATTTTTATGTATATATATTTCTTTCTGTCTGAATGTTACTGTAGTAGTATCTGATTCTTCAGAAATTCAAAATTGACTTTTTCATTAGTCTTCACTTTGTCTATTACTATTTTTAATATTAATTGTATCCAATAAGGAGTAAAATATTGATACATTGTTATTTAAGGCGTTAAATGTGAAAATTCGATTTGGATGAATTTTATCGCACTATTATTATGGAAGCGAAAGTTAAGTGATTTATCAATCGCTTTTCCAAGCAGTTACTAGAGAATTGATAGAAATAAAATATGAGGATAGGGACATGGGGTACTTTTTGCATAACATATAAAGCGCACAGCCAAGGGCGCGAAGTCGTGTTAAAAGTATTTCCCAATTGTTCTTTAAGAAACCTTCACTATTTTAGATGATTAAGTATACCGGTGCAATATGTTTATTATGTAAACGATAATAATGAAGAGTGCAGACTGATAAGTCGGCGACACGTCGTCGCGCGCGCACCAGGAAGCAACCTTGGCGCGCGTTCGTGAACTTGCCCTATGCGCGGCCATATTGCACGTTTCTAACACTGATGCACTCTAATATGGACGGATGATACCACGCGATATGTTACGCTGCCATTTTTATTACATAAGGTTACCTATTTCTTTGCATATTCGTGCGTTCCTATACATAATTAACAATTTTTTGAGATTTATACTATGCACTGCACACGATATAAATATTTTACGATTAAAATGCATTCTTAATTTTTACGGATAATGAAACAGAAATTGTAGGAATGTTTAATAATATTTACTAGATACATGAGACTTGATGTGCGTATAGTACTCTATTTGACTTTTTATTAAATTAAATACTTAAAACGTTGATAATAACAAAAATAATGTAATAATATTTTTTTTATAGCACACTAAATGTAACACATAGAACAAGAAAAAATTTGATGAATCAGCAGGTCTAACTAAAAAAAAAAACAACTCATTTTTGTTATGACATTATTAAAATTTTTAAAAATTACCTTACAATGTAACTTGCAAACTAGTTTTCGGTTTTTGATCCGTCACGAACTTAAACGATGAAATTTTATTAATTGTTGAAAAATAAACATTCGCGTCATGGCTGTACTTGAATACACTACGACGTTCACGTAAATAAATTATTTTTGAATAAGGTGTCAATATAAGCGAAATATGAAGTAAATCCTACCTTGAAAAGTATGGAGCTGTCCAATTTGACCATGATATTGCTTACAAATTTTGCACATGCAGAATGTGCAACGGGGAAACTAACCTTGCAGTCTAATAATAATTTAATACGCCAATGTTTCCACTACAAATAGACAGAGTATCGGCTAGATAAAGACTGTATGTTGCCTATTGCTAATGCGGAATTAAAATCAAAGATATCTGATCAAAGTTTGAGCATAAATATAATTTATGAAGAACGCGAAAAATAGTTTGATTCGTCTACATATTTAAACTATTACTTCCAATATATTTGTGAACATGTTTTTATATTTTGTAATTTAAAAACGATCGTGTATTAATGAATTAATTTTATACGTTTAAATGTTTATGTAAGTATGTAATTACTTTTATTTTTTTCCTTAAGATAACGTTGTGTTTCTGTGATTGTTTTAAGTGGGAAAATATACTCGCGTTTACAATTAAATCACTAATTATGTAAACAGCCACCTAATTTTATGACAGATATTCTTAAAAATGGTATTGGTATGGAAAGATCAATTGGACTTCAGAATACATTAGAAGTTTGATACTACCACACCATTTACTGGCAAACGGCGCGCTGTTAACCCATAAATTATTCGTATACTCACAAATATTTCATTTCATCCTTGACAGAAACTAAACTAGTTACACCTATTACAATTGCCGTCTGCAGTGGGTGCTGTTGACCGTACTAAGCTTTGGCCAGCGAAGGCATGCGACGGTGTCGACTTGAGGCGCTCGAGGAGTATACGGAGGGTCAGCAGGAGAACGAGGGGCCGGCGGCGTCGCGCGGCTCTCATGACGCCGGCCGTCGGCCAGGCTGGTGCTGTGCCGCGGCGGCCGGTCGCAGCGCGTTATGCAACGCGGTGCTCCGACCTGCCCCACGTCAACGGCGGAGCGCGTCGCACTAACCCGACGCCGCCGCCACGCCGACCGGCCCAGATGCACTTTTGCGACGCCGAGAATGCAATCGGCACATATTCGCGTCCCGTTCCGATAAACGCATCGCCGACGAAAGCGGCCCGTGACGGAGAATGCGGACGGATTCGACGCCCGGTTGCAGTGAGCGCGTCACGCTCGAGCCTACGGGCTCCCGCTTGGGGGAGAGCGGGACGGAGCGACGCGGCGCGGCGGGCGCGCGCTGCATTCAAGTTCATTACTTCCGTAGTGTGGCGGGCGGCCGCGGTGCGCGCCGTGACCGTGCTCTCGATCCATGCTCGCACTTTATCGACGGTGGCAAGCAACGCCGCGGGAAATGGTACTGCCCGCCGCCCAAACTTTAGCTGATCACAGCGTGAAAATTGATTAGCTCTAAGAACTATCGTGACATACATCCTTACGAGTGACGGGACGATTTAAGAAAATGGAAATAGTTTTAATCAAATATCTTTTTTTAATGATATCAAATTTATATTTTTGATAGTTACTTCCACGAAACGTAGAGTAGCTTTAATTAATCCATTTCGAAAACAACACGCGAGGTGGTAGCGTGAGAAAGGTAGCGAAAGCCATGGTTGGGCGGGCGGGCGACGTTCGCTTGCGCCACCCCGGAACACGCTTTCACTCTCGCGGGTCGTCGACACAGCCTTCACGCACCCTTACCTTCGGCTCTCGAATCACTCTTAGCCACCCGTTGAACTTCTTATTAGATCTCACTTGGTACTATCACTATTTGCGAGTACGGATTCAAGTCACTTTTAAGTGGGTAGAGTTGTGCCCGTAGTAAGGGTGTTGCACTCTGCCTCCTAGGGTGGTAGAGCCGCGCCGCACCCTACCATTATCCAATATTGATTTCACTATTTACAGTCTGTAATCTGTTAACAGCCTCAAACTGTTCGCACTTTGTATAAAGGACCCGGCTGCTGTCCGGTACGCTATACAGGCTTTGAGCATTTTTAGCTTATTGCATTGAAATGGATAGAAACCGTAATAATGTAGCCATATTAAGATGAATTTACTACATATGTTAAGAATTTTTGGGTTATTTTAATAGAACCAAATTAAGTTAAACTAAAAGTTATTAGAACCTGTCCCTTGTATTACATCGAGTGTTTTATGTATTATTAATTATTGGTGATAATCAATTTACATTAGAGCGCATAAAAAATAAGTGTATTAAAAATACGCTTGAACGTTTTGGCGTATTAATATTATATTAATTATAATAATAATGAGCATTATATTAGTGAAGTACTTTATTGAATCTATATTTTTTCTGATGATAAAATTAAATTATAATTAAGTCTACTGTAACTTGGTGTAAACATAAGAGGAGCGCTAGACTGCTATATAGCTGTATTTTATCCATGCATCCAGTTAGGGGGTACCTGACCTATCTCAATGTCTGGCCCTTTTCGTGTAAGTCTAACGACCTATAACAACGTTTAACCTAATCATCCATCTTTGGAGACGTTCGTAGACTTGAGAAATGTGCATAGTAATGTTAAGATCAAATTATTTTATGCTTTTTTATTGAATGTGAACTCTTGCTTCCAGCCCTTGTTGGTGAACATGGTTGATGTTTGTCTACTTCTAGGAACAAATTTTAAAAATTGCGTTGAGAGAAAATAATGAGGTGGTTCTCAATCCCATTGTATTTTTTAAATATGTTTATTACGTTAGAACTCCGTCATTTATAAGCCGATTTTAAAAATTATTTATGCATTGGGTTCGGTTTAGCTCCCGTGTGATCCCGTAGTGTACAATTTAATTGCTGTTGGACCTCGGAGTACGGAGATACATCAGGAAACTACTTAAAATCAAATAGAATGTATGTAGAGAGTGTGATATTTGAAGTCAGTTTTGTTTTTTGTTAGTAAAAATCTTATTGTAGATAATTGAAGTTGAATGGTTTTTAAAACAACGTAAATGCGTAAATTTACATGCAATCAATTTGATTGAATCCTGGACTGCAGATATTTTGGCTTATAAAATAAATATATCGCAATAAAATCGTATAGGTATTGAACTATTTTCCAAATAATAAAAATGGAAGTTTTTTCATTCAAAATTGATTGTTTAAATCTTAAATAATACCTTATATTTTTAAATTAATTATAATCTTGAGTCGGCCATATCTGAGAGTGCTTTAACAGCCAAAAAATTTAAAAAAAACGTCACATCCAATGGACGGTCAATTAGAGCGTGAAAAGCGAGGCGCATCAAAGAAAATGCAGTTTTCCAACGTCGGCGGAGGCTCGTGCGGTATCAAAACACTGAATCTTCCGGGGTGAACGGCCGCGGCCGCCTCGTCCCACTGCGCTAGCACCGCCGCCCGGCGCCGCTTGTCATCTCGCTCGCTCGCGCCGCCGCCGCGCGAATAAATCGCACGCTTGCGTGTGTGCGAGGAAATGCGTTCACTGTAGTATTGGGCACAGGGGTCGACGACACCATCGCCAATTTTCATTAGGCTTACAAGAGCTTTTCAGAATTGCGTTTTATGTTACCTCAACAGCCTCTATTTCGATAGTATTTCCGGCGCAATAAAACGGAATAAGTTACTCACCTTGTATCATTCTCGTGTATTATTTTGTATAACTCATTGATGGTATTCCTTTTTTAAACTATTCTAAAAGCTATTGGCCTAACGTGTTATCTTCTTCTTTACGTGTCGATGACAGCGGCTAAGATATAAGCTATTGCACAATTTGTGGCATCCATCAAATCCTGATGCGAATAAGTGAAAGGGCAGGCAGGACCGAACGTCAAATGAGCTATGTTATAATAAAACAGATATAAGTTTTCTATATGAATGCCATTTAAGGTTACTGAGGGCAGCCTAACATCAGTAAGGCTGGTTGTTCTGGAGGTACTCAGCTCTACGTTTTATTGATCTCACTTAGTGCGATGTATGGCGTAGGCGCTGTCTATATCTGTGCAAGTGGTGCCCGCAGTGTAAACTCTATTTCCCCCTTCTCGGGTAGGCTTCAATACTCATTCATGCCTTTTTTCCTGCTCTGTCTGGGAGCGGGTTCATAGTGCGCTCCCGCTCGGGAGGTTTCCGTGTTGACGTCCCTACATACGCGCATGCACTAGACCTAGCCCAATGCAGCGAATTTTGCGTAGGGTCATTGTCCTCGCCCGCCTCTATCCGAACGAAACTACTGTCTACACGCTAAAATGTCCCGGACGAATACGTCCGACGCACTATTGTCTCAATCATTCCGTAATTGAATTAATAAGGAGGCATTTTACTAATTTTAACAGCCCTGAAAACAAATTGTAACGAATCCGTTTAAAGCAGTAAATATTGCCCGAAAACTTTATTGATATATAGTTTTGAGTATCTTTAACGTCTCGGTATACACGGATAATAACGGTCTTTGAGTTTATTGCGGATGCCTAAGACAATGACTCGCTAAAAAACGCTATTTGCGCAAATTGCATTTTTTTGCTCAACTGCTTTTGTGGGGACCTTTTTAACGAGAAAGGCAAAGGAATAACAATAACAAGGGGAATGTGCAAAAGGAGCCAGCAATAATTTAAACAAAACGCATAGAGTACGAATAAAAAAGTTACTTTAAACTTTTTGCCCGGTTTCTAGAAATCCCCGGGCTGGGGTGTTTTGCTTCCAAACTAATGTTCTTGCAATAAATATGTATACCATTCCTTACGGACACATTCTATGTTTTTATTTTCATTGTTATAAAGGAGTGTACACCTTTACTTTTTGTTGCGTTTGCGAAAAAAAATTTCCTTGTTTCAATAAACATCAACAACGTTTAAAAAGTAATTTGAATAGGTGTCCAACTTTTAATAATGAATATTTAAAAATGGAAAGTTAGGAAAACAATCTAATACGGTTAGCGTGAACTGATCCTCTGCGTGTTATTAGCGCCGTTTTCAGGCAGATAGATAAATCGAGTGCAAAGAGGTGTGAAGTACTAGTCTAGAATGTGGATAGGGTCAAAAGCCGCGCAGTATGTCAGCGTTTAGTATTCCGTGTGCCCGGGGCCCGGCCGGCTAACGGGAATTCTCGCCTGTCTACACCGGCCTTTACTTTCATCGATCGGACAAACCACGACGGTTTACTTTCCTTTGTTAGATTGAAAAATATTGTGCTCCATTTGATGGCATATTTGTATTTAGTTTGATAATCACGGCGTTTGATTTCGACAGAGATTTGACGGCGAAATTATAAACGAATATAAACTATACAAAGTTCGCTTGATATGCATCATTATGGTGATATATCGCTAAACAAAAAAAAGCAAACAAGATATTTGACTCATCAGTTGATCTAAATTAGTTTTGATGAATCTACCGTTAACTGTTAATAGAGTTCACACCATAAAATTTATTCGTACACTATTATCATTCAATGCACCCTGCATAATATGTAAACCGCAGTGACAATGAAGCAAAACAGTTGTTTGCAGCTATGAAATAAGTATAAAAGAAAGGTACAAGTGTTTGGTTTGGTCCCAGGTAGACGCTGGGAGCAGAGCCCGACAACGGAGCTTTGTGATGCGACGTACCGTTAGATGCATTTGAACATTTTTAAATCGAACCGACGAGAAATATGATCGATCGATTCCGGAGCTATTGTATTCGTCTTACATGAGGACCTGCTGATTTCCAAAAATAATGTCCTATATAACCGTTTTGGGCGTTCTTGACTGACAGCTAAAACTAACAGGTTTGTACAGGGAATATGAAGAGTTTTTTGCTCTCGTATGTATGTACACTTGGAGCTTAACTGAATGATATCGAGTAAGAGACTACTAATGAAATGTAATCAAATTTATCATACGCTCTTACATCGTTTTTCTTTCTTTTGTCAATAAAAATTTGATTTTCCTATTTATTTAGTTTAAGCACATATATACGATATTTAAGTCTTTTGTGTTATATACAATTGTATTCTTAAAGCTTTTTGACAAGAATTATTGATAGGTTTTATTAATGTTATAAATTTGAATGTTTTGACTTTTAACTGTATGGGGAAATCATTTAAAAGTAATCACAAAAGTACAAGGACTTCTGCATTAAAAAAATTGGTTTTTGATGCGCCGTAAAATTACACACTACGCAGGTAGAACTGGTATTTCCTATTGTATAATGTTACATATACACCGTTATGACGGTGCACCATCGATGCATGTGGGTGTGGACTACCGTTAGGTTGTACTGATAAAAAAAACGTGAGGGTGAAATCAAAGTCCAATGCATCGGAACAACCTCCGATTATAAGTAGTGTTGTGTTGACTATTCCTAGTCGTTATAAATGTCTTCAAAACGTTCCCTTTTTAAAAACTTTACATTGTTTTTATCAAAAGTATTCATAGTCATTTAAACTTGTTTTTCATTTTTATCTATGTTTATATTAAATACGTGTCATGCCATAATAAATCACTGATAAATGGGCTGGCATAGTTTTCGAGAGATGAAATTATACTTGTCTTTAGGATTGTGGTCTTTATCATCAAGGTTTTCGTGCAATTACTCTACGAATTTTATTATATTAAAAAAGTTAATTATATCAAAAATGTACATATATTGAGAAAAATTACAAAACGTTTTAACTGTAAAATGCAGAAACCAAACAAGCTTTTTGTACTCGAACGTATACAAAATGATTTTGACTCTTTAAGTGTAGTTTAAAAAAACATTTTAACCGCTTATTATAAACGTTTGTGATTTTTGTATAAAATTAAATCACTGCAGATTTAATTATTCTCAAGCAGAGGTATAAGAAATAATTAAATTTCAAAAAGATGTGGTATGGTGATGAACGCCTGTGACAACCGGAAGGCACAAATCATTCCAGCTATAAATATATTCATAGAATCAAACGTATGTGGAACACTTTACTGTGACATCGATAGGTTTATGACGCCCGCTCATTGCACTTCCTGCGAATTTTGTTTCGGAACAACATCATTATTCTGCACATTGTTAGAACAGAAATATACAACCGGTTGACTTTTGTCAACCATTATGGCAATTTCTTAGAACAGACGTACCATATAATACATTCACAATTTGTAATTACAAGATTGCATAATTTGTATGCTTTATTAATTTTGGGTTTTTTCGTCATATCCACACAACACACATCGTGTTACTCGTTGTGAGCGTTTTAATTTCGATAAGGTGCTTACTAAGACGATGTAAGCGATGCATGAAAATAGACATTACATAATAGGCGCGTGCTCGCCCCGGGCACGACATGAAGTACCGTTGCCCGAACAGGTTCCACGCATCAACCCCCCCGCGCCACGCTCGCTGTTTACCAAGCATTTACTTTCTACCCATCAAGGATCTTCCTGGCACTCCCACATATGCTCCGAGTGCAAGTGACAGTGTAATGTAAGCTCGTGAGTGGGCTTCGAACTCCCACGCATACTTTTATTCATTTTTCCTCGGTTTTGACTATTGTTGTTCTATCTCCCAAAAGTTGATAGATGGCAGGCTCCCACACACTTTGCTAGGGAATATGAATACCTTCCAAGGGTATCAATTTTGAATTGAATTGAACAGACAGGATGTAGTTATTTTCGTCAAGTACTTTAAAAAAAATGTTTGTGAATATAATGATATGTCTTTTATATTCGTACTTTTCACAAAAGAATAATTCGTGTGTGCATTTGCGTCATAAACATGCGAGACCAAATCTGTTAACTGTATAAATTTGGAACGAGCTGGCGAAACTAATTCGACTTTATGGTCATCGGTGTAGACTTAAAAATCGCATAAGCGAAAGCGGGCCGAAGCCGGGCCGAGCGCTCGCCGCGGTTCAATGACCGAGTTTTCACGGGTTTGTCAGCCCGCTGTTATATCATCGGCGTAGTCAGTGTCATTGCCGAAACCGCGGCCGGTGTGTATGCTAATTTGCATCTTTCGCCGATTGGCACTGAGTTCACTTTTGTTTGCGACACAGCAGGTTTTTTTTGTGTATGTACCATGCCCTCTTATGTGCGGCAGTAACCAGTGCTTAAATGACTCTGGAGGTTGTTACTTTTTAACGTCGTCCCATAAGATCGTTGGTAAAGGATTATTAAGTACCTTATATTTTTTATTTCAAAAATTTTACTTATATACGTTACATATCGTTTATAACTTGAAGCATCACATTACCATTGTTGAATTGAAAAGTGTATTGTATAATAAGTGTATGTTTATGAAAATTAAATAATTATACAAGCTTACATTACTCACATTTTTTATCAAAAACACATAAGCAGCTGGCGTTAAGGTTCCCTAAATATATAAATATATGTACCCTACATACACTTTATTTAGCAGACTAGTTACATTTGTCCTGCAGCACCGAATCCATTAACCCCGCAAACATGATATAATATCATGATTGAGCGGTTACGTAAGCTCTGTGTAGGTTGATCACGTGTGCACAATTTCGCCTTGAAAATGAACCCAAAAAGTTCAAGGTCTGCTTTTTGCGGA